TGTTAAAACTACTAGCATGTGTTAGAACAGCTAGTCATAATTTATAAAACAGTTGCTAGAGAGTGGCTAGTAAGTCTAAAGGTCATCAGTGATTGGCTGCTGGCTAGACTGAGTTGAATGAGGCCTGACTAGTCTGTAGGACAGTCTGATGTAGAGTTATGAGCTCATAAAGGTTGACTCAATGTTAAGTCAATGGCAGTCTTTTACAATGGAAGTCTATGGACAGTTGCTAGGGATTGTATATGCATAGAAAGCATGTGAAATAATAGCAAAATGGTGCATTAATATTTATATGAACATATAACTTTTGTGAAAATAAAGTGTCAGCAGTGTACAATCAGTGTTGGGGAGGTGACTTTGCAAATGTAAGATTACAGATTACAAATTACCCTATTTAAAATGTAATTAGTAGTTTACCTTTTCAATTACTTTATAAAAGTAAAATAAGATTACATCTGATTATTTTTGGTTTCCTTTTAATTTCTTAATGGATATTTTGAACTAAATCATTTTGAAGCATATATACCTGAAGCAGGTGTGACCTTACAGTAGCTCTGTTTACTGTTGGAATTTCGAAATCTTTCATCACTTGAATTGAGATCATTCATTCATTCATTTTTTTGTCGGCTTAGTCCCTTTATTAATCCAGGGTCACCACAGCGGAATGAACCACCAATTTATCCAGCACGTCTTTACGCAGTGGATGCCCTTCCAGCCGCAACCCATCTCTGGAAAACATCCACACACACAGATTCACACAAACACTCATACACTACGGACAATTTAGGCTAGGCCAGCTGCAACCCATCTCTATAGTAAACACAAACACACACACACTATGGACAGTTTAGCCTAGCCTAAATTGTCCGTAGTGTATGAGTGTTTGTGTGAATGTGTGTGTGGATGTTTCCCAGAGATGGGTTGCAGCTGGAAGGGCATCCGCTGCGTAAAAACTTGCTGGATAAGTTGGCGGTTCATTCCGCTGTGGCGACCCCGGATTAATAAAGGGACTAAGCCGACAAGAAAATGAATGAATGAATGAATCAAAATAACGCATTGGGTTAAATTAAATAACCCATAGTTGGGAAGGTGATATATTAACCTATAGTTGGGTTATATGTTGGGGTATTTTTAAGTGTGCTTCTTTGACTTATTTTAGGAAGTCCGTCAGGTTTCAACCTCATTTTTTAAGTTATGCAAAGGTTAACTTTACGTTTCTAGTTAGTTTGATGTAAGTTGAGATGACAAGAAAAATGTAGGGCAGCAAGAAATTTGTAACTTGTGACATTTCTTTTCAAGCAATATGTGTGTTATTTGTGTTATGTGCACAGATGTCAGAATCAGAGGTGTATTTTGCTGGACAATGGACCAGACGAGGAGCTGCGCAACACATGAACTCTGAACTCTGCACTATGGATGTGGATTAGCGGCTGATCATCAGAAAGACGGAGATTGCTCTTTGAGAGGTTTTTGTCTGAAGCTTTTTTTGTTGAGTGCTCTTTGAGATTGCAGGTTCATGCACATGAGAAACATTGGACAGACGCACACTGAAGTGCTGTGAGTTCAGGGCAAGACAGACCCTGTAATGGCGCTTCAGCGGATGGCATGCATTAACCTAAAAAATGTTACGTAACACATAAAATGGGTGACACAGTGGCAACGTCGGCTCACAGCAAGAATGTCGCTGGTTTGAGCCTTGGCTGGATTAGTTGGCATTTCTGTGTGGAGTTTGCATGTTCTCCCCAAGTTGTTGTGTGTTTCTTCCGGGTGCTACGGTTTTCCCCAAAGACCAAAGACATGTGCTGTTGGTGAATTGTATAGAATAAAACACGAAATACAGTTTCACCACAGACACGACAACCTGATTACGATACGAATGAAACAGTTTGATTCATACTCGTAATCAGGTCTTTGCGTCCGTGGTGAAACTGTATTTCGTGTTTGTAAAGTACACCCATCGTACATTTATCAGTCATATACAAACAGACAAAGAAAATGTTGTATCTGTGTCTGTTCTAATCGCAGATTTTGTATTTGTACCCTTGTAAATGTACGAGTACGTTCTGTTTTCCTTTACGCTGTTATAATTACAGATGCGTGAATTTTAATTATGCACGAAATATTTATGACAGCGATTTTATTCTATAAATTGGGTAAGCTAAATTGTACGTAGTGTATGTGTGTATGTCCTGGTCCTCCAGGATGGGGTTGAGCGTTGGGCTAACAACCGCTAACAACACACATCATAAACTAGATGTTAAGAAACCTCAATATGGTGTGGCTAAATATCAGCTTCGATATATATGGGTCTGGGAGAAAGTAAGTAACATAAAATAGTTTACATTAAAAATGTAGACTCATAAATATATATATATATATATATATATATATATATATATATATATATATATATATATATATATATATATATATATATATATATATGGGCAATTCCACGCAAATGTCAACCTTGCCATAAAAAATTATTTAGTTTTCAGCAAAATAGACAAACCGTTTTTACATTTTTTGTGTTAGCAAGTATTTTACAGTACTGTAAAAATACTCGTGAATGTATCTGTCAGTATTTCAAACTATTATATTTAATTTGCCAAAATCACACAAGTGGCAATTTCACAGCTGTCACATCCATAACGGAAATGTGTCACATCCATAACGACACTTTTTCTTCATAAATGCAAAAATGTCAAATAAAATAAAATCAATCATTTTAATTCTATAGTGAGCCGACTCATACCTGTTTGATGAGCATTGTGTCTTTTGGGTTGTGCAGTTTAACTGTCAGAATTTCTAAATAATCTGTTGTCGACTGTAAATTCGCAAACTTTTTTTGTCACATCCATAACGCATGTTTATTTTCCTAATTTAAAATATAAAACATGTTTACATATTGATATTTTTGTGCTCCCATAACTCTGTGGTGAGCTATTTTGGAAAATATAAACAGAAGTTTCGATATAATGTCAACATATACTTTTCTGTGTGAAATTATGTTTTGAGTTTTTACTGCAAATGTCACATCCATAACGCTGGAATTGCTCATATATATATATATATATATATATATATATATATATATATATCACAAAATGATTTCTTCATTTGCCAAATTAAATCTGCATTCAGTTGCTTTGACCAATTTTTTTGTGTGTTACTGTCTCTGCAACAGGCCACATTTATTTATTTTTAGCTTATCATATGGCTCCGTAGGCTACAACTTGGCACTACATTTCGTCACCTTAGAGTTATAAGGTTCTATCTGACATTTTTGTCAAAATTGAGTTATTCACATATTCTTATTAAATGGCAACTTATTTACATTATGGGATGTGTTTTATATGTTGTTTACTTTAAGGCTTTTTATTTAAAAAAACAAAAAAGGTGTATCTACAAAGTTGAACTCTAGCTTGGCTCTATAAGGTTCTATCTGTGAGCCAATCAGCATTTTTAATGCATGCACGAGGACCAATTAGGATTAGCTTTCTTTGTCATTTCGCCGAACTTCTCTATTGACAGCAGGAAACACCAGAAAGACAAAATCACACAAAATCAGAGTCGACTAAATAATGCCACACCACACAAAATTGAAATGTGTGTAAATGTAATGATTTAGAAGCATTTCTTGACACTGAGATTCATTCATTAATTTTCTTTTTGACTTAGTGCCTTTATTAATCTTGGGTTGCCACAGCGGAGTGAACTGCCAACTTATCCAGTATATGTTTTACACAGCGAATGCCCTTCCAGCTGCAACCCAACACTGGGAAACACCTATACACACTCAATCACACACATACACTATGGCCAATTTAAGCTTATCCAATTCACCTGTACCGCATGTCTTTGGACTTGTGGGGGAAATCAGAGCACCCAGAGGAAACCCACACAAACACGGGGAGAACATGCAAACTCCACACAAAAATGCCAACAGACCCAGCCAAGACTCGAACCAGCGACCTTCTTGATGTGAGGCAATCGTGCTACCCACTGTGCCAACGCGTCGCAAACATTGAGATGAAATGCTCAATTTTATATTGTTGAAAAAGAAATGAATATTCAAAAATTTGCATATTAAATGTAAAAAAATATTTGTGTATATATAGTCAGTGAAACACTTTTCAGTGTTTATTAAACTCATTTGCTCATAGTCTGTTTCTTTTAAAGTCTGGGTAAGTTTTTTTAAACTGTGAGGAAACCCACACTAACAATGGGGGAACATGCAAACTCATTCATTCCATTCATTTTCTTGTCGGCTTAGTCCCTTTAATAATCCGGAGTCGCCACAGCGGAATGAACCGCCAACTTATCCAGCAAGTTTTTACACAGCGGATGCCCTTCCAGCCGCAACCCATCTCTGGGAAACACCCAAACACACATTCACAAACACTCTCATACACTACGGACAATTTAGCCTACCCAATTCACCTGTACCGCATGTCTTTGGACTGTGGGGGAAACTGGAGCACCCGGAGGAAACCCACACCAACGCAGGGAGAACATGCAAACTCCACACAGAAACGCTAACTGACTCAGCCGGGACTCAAACCAGCGTCCTTCTTGCTGTGAGGCACTGAGCCACCATGTCGCTCCCATATAAGGCTTTGTACTATCAGTTATAAAAAGTAAAACAGTTCTTTGAAAGAACCTCAGAATGAAGATAAATTCAGAATTGAGAGAAAGTCTATACATTTTCTATAAAATAAATAATAGTGTCACAGATTTTTGAAAATCTGACTTGTCTTAGAGTCTGAACTGTGAGAAAGTCTACAGCTGTTTGCAATTTTTCAATTAAATTAACCCTGCAAGTCGTGTCAACTTACTTTTGAGAAATGAAGTCACAGTTTGCTGAAGAAAATGTTAGAATTATGACAAATAAAGACAAGAATTAACCGCAATACTCGCAGTAAAAACTTCAGTACCCAGAAGCCCATGTAACTTAAACGCGTATCGTTTAATCCTCTGCGGCTTCCGTAAGAGGTGTCGTGGCGCTTGTGAAGTTGGAGGGGGAAAGTACAGATTCTCTAAATATCAACATTAGCGAATATTTGTCACATTATTTTACAGACTGCAGTGATCGTATCCACGTCATATAGATTACTGGGTTGACAATGAGGCGCGCTGGTTTGGGTAAGTTTGCGTTTTTATGTGTCGTATTGCTTGAAGCTTATGCTAAGCTAAAATCTCAACTCAATTAGAAAACTTAACGTTATTGGTCACAGTTTATGACAGTAAGCAATCTCTGAATGACCAAATCATCACCCACACATTAACGTTAAATCCAGGTGTGGAGAATTAACGTTAACGTTAAATGGATAAATAACGTTTATTAACGTTCTTGCAGTAACTAGCAACTCCTATTTCTCTATTTCACCATCGTTGTTATTGAGGTGAAGTTGTTTTTATATTCGAACATTTGTTCTGTGACAGCTCCCTGTATTGTTTACCTTTATGCTAGTTTGAATATTCGGACTGAAATCACGTGTAAGTATGACTACAAAACAACACTATATAATTTACTGTGAACAATGTTTTTAATAGTCTGCTAATATAATTTCCCTATTTAGAACTTCCAAATAATACTTTTCTGAAATCATATTATTAAGGAGAAAGTTCGAATGTGTGAATTTAAAACCAGCTTTACGTCAGTGGCGTTATTTATTAATCATGTTTACATATATATTTATATCATACAGAAAAGCAACTTCTGTGTATGAACAACACGAGATACTGTAACAGCATAAATATGACACATCTAAGCTGAAATTAAAAAACCTTCTATTCGAAGTAGGGCTGGGCGATATTAAAAAAGAATTCAAACTCGTTAATTATTTTCCATATGAAGCATAACATCATATATTTCAATACAAGTTGGCAATGCTTCCAGATTTAAAATAGTACTTTAACATTGACTGAAGCCACAAAAATAAGAGTCCATTAGATCAGTAGTTCTCAAATTAGGGGTCGGGACCCCTTGAGGGGTCGCAGGACAATGAAAGGAAGGGTCGCCTGGGGATTTCCAAACATCTATTTATTTTTATTAAACCGGAATTACCATATTGTAACCTACTGAAGAGAAAAAAAGTCATTTAGAGTTACTATAAACTATATAATAACTTATAGTTACTAGTTCTATTGGATTGTGACCCCTGTAGTAATTACATAATATTAAAGACACAGCAATAGCATCGGATGCAGCAGATTGATTTTATACCTGCTTAAACTTTCTGGCCCATTTACAGCACTGAGATACATTTTAAAAAATTACACAAAGAATAAACCTGGGTGTATTGGCGTGTGTGCACCATTGCATGCAAGGTTTCTGTATTTATAACAACCTCAGATGATATTGGGGGTCGCGAGTCACTGGCATTGTCATTTTGGGGGTCGCGGGCTGAAAAGTTTGGGAACCCCTGCAATAGATGGCAGAACATTTTTTTCCAATAAATTTCCGTGGCTGAAAATTCGGTGCATCTCTAATATCAACACCCTTTTGGATTCCCATTGTTGCACATTTCTGCTGTGTGATTTGCTCTTAGATCAATATAGAGTAGAAAAGTCAAGAGATTGTCATTGTTATTGACAAAAATTTTATTGTGATTCGATATAATATTGTTTATCGGCCCAGCACTAATTTGAACAGTAAAGTATGATTGATAAAGCAAATAAAACCCATTTTAAACTTGATAAAATGAGGCACCAAGCAAATAATCTACCTTTTAATTTAAAAAAACATTCATTATTTTGCAAATTTCAACATTTTGTCTCATGTAGACAATCAAGATTTTATCCAGAGTTTTTACTTTTCGATTTTAAATAGTTTCTGATGAACATTTCAATCTTATTTGTTTAGGTTTTTCAAATTCACTTCCAACTTTAGAGAATATTTGATCAATCAAATCAGTGCATACTTGTCAATTACTCTTAAAGGGATAGTCACCCCAAACAATTTTTATATTTCACAAAAGAAGAAATTTTAAACAGAGCTAAAAACCTGTAACCATTGACTTCCATAGTATTTGTTTTTGCTACTATGGAGGTGAATGGTTACAGGTAGCATTGGCACAATACTGGAATTCGATACCAATCGGTACTGAAATTTTACAAACGTCCATTTCCTGCTTACATTTGAGCGCTGTTGAGCCCATTCTTAAACACTGTTGATTTGCTGTTGTGTTCACATGCTCAACAGAAATGACTGTGATTGGCCGTGAAGGTCATTAGTTCACCAAACTCAACACTGTTTACTGAGTGTAAACACAGATACAGGGACACAAGCATTTTAAAGTCACGTCAATCAGCTGGTTTGTCTATAACTTCACATACAAGCGATCTGCTGATGAATTGCGGCTTTTAAATGCTCCAGTGTCTGTATCTGTGTTTACACTCAGTGAACAGCAGTGAGATTGGTGAACTAATGACCTTCACTGCCAATCACAGTCATTTTTGTTGAGCATGTGAACACAATGGCAAATCAGCTGTGTTTAAGAACGTAATCAACAGTGTTTAAATCTTAGCAAGAGATGGATGCTTTTTTAAGCTTCAGTATCGATTGGTATTGAATTCCAGTATCGTGACAACACTAGCTACTAGTTTGAAACATTTAAAGGGCGAGTAAACATTGACAGATTTCATTTTGTCGTGAACCAGTTCTTTAAGGCAACATTTCAGTTTACTGTAATAAGATTTATTATTTTTAGTACTAAATACTTGATTTTAAATGTTTTTTTTTTTAAATTCCGTTGGATTTGACCTGACCTGAATGTTTCTTGTACAGGAGAAGGTGGCCCTCAAGGCAATTACGTTGCGAGCGGATACAGTGTGTATGAGGAGGAGAATGAACATCTACAGGAGGGACTGAGAGATAAAGTACACGCACTTAAACACGTGAGTGGCCTTCATATCTGATGCTCTATTTTGATTAACTACTCTGCATAACTATTCTTATTTTTGGAAAATATGTGTTTAATCTTTTAATTATGCCTTTTGCAGTTGTCTATTGACATTGGAAATGAAGTCAAGATCCACAATAAGATGTTGGGAGAAATGGTATGTGTCAGGAAGTTTTTCAATGTCTAGTAGGGGTTTCATGGTACACTAAAATGACTTTTGTTTTGAAGTTTGGTGTTTTCTGTTTAATGGGTGGAAAAATTCATAACATTGATGTTTTTACTATACAAATTGTGGCTGTGTCTTTAAATAAATTCAGTTAAAAGTACAGTTGATATTAAGGGTAAAGAAACTATAAATGTACAACTGCTATTGAGGGGAACAACTATAAACTATATATGGAGCCTTATTATTTAAGCATTGCTATATTTAAGTGTACAGTTTCCAACAGGGACCTTTATTAAATTCAGTTGCAATTAGTTTTTAGATATTGAAATCCATGCTAAAATAATTCTAAATGCAAACATGAGACTGTTTTTACAATAATTTAAATCTAATTATGAAATTGTTTCTACTCCAATTAGTAATCCAATTCCTTTGTAACGGATTCATTTAAACGTACATTATATATTAAATATGTATTGAAAAGTATAAGAATAAAGCATTTATTGTTTGAATTTTAAAGTAACAAAACAAAGCTTTTATTTGTGCATCTGAAATAGGGCTGCACAATCTTGGGAAAAATTGACAGTATTTAGTTTTTCTGCGATATATTGCGATATTGATATAATTTCACAAGATTTGTACCACAAATGTATGAGATTTTCCCATTGAGTCCTTGGAAGTGTCAGGTGCAAATAGAAAGGTGTTTCTACATGTACAGCACACACAGAAATGCACAGTGTGTTTCAAGAGGGGGACTGTGGCGTCTTAAGCCCCTGATGTATTGTCAAAAGCCCCTGATCTTTTGTTGGAATATGTTGCACTTAAATAAAAATAGGTTGTATAAAATTTATTTTGTTATCAAAGTTTTTAAAATTAGCTCATACATCACTGTGCTCCAGTTAACGCAGCTATTAAGTCATGTAATTAAATTGTCAGCTATTCTGCAGTATCTGTTTCTACCGGCAGGTGGGAGTGGCACAGTTGTCACATGGTTTTAAAAAAATCCCATCATCATCATTCATTATTTTGAGGAGCTGATGAGGTAATAATACAATTCGCAAAACTGAATAGTTGTAACTACTGATTTTTTAAATAGCTTTTTTTAATTTGTTTTCACAGTAAAAAATGTGTGTAGTTTTGGTGAAATACAATAACTAATTGATCAAATGTGCATCATATCAATGTAAATACACGCGAATTAGTCAGAAAAACGTAAATTGTACTAGCTCTCTAGATATGATATAGATATCTAGGCATATTTATCTAGATATGATATAGCCAGGCACATCTGTTTCTGTAATGGTTAAATCACAGTGAGGTAATGCATCTTATTATTTTATAGCTTCTATTTAACATGCTTTATCAGTTAGCACCGAACTTAGTTAGCACTTTACAAATCTTGAATACCAATCAGAGACAAATGGGTGTTCAGCACTGCCTACATGTGCATTATTAATTTTAAAATCATCTATCCATTTTCCTACCCTAAAAAAAAACAACAACAAAAAAAGTTTGTTCTATTGCAAACAAAAGAAAACCGAAAAACGTCAGTTTTCTTAATTTTCCTTTTTTTGCTTGAAAACAAATATGAAATGGACGGAAGATTCCCTGATTGTGCATGAAGATGCTTTGTTGTGTGTTTTAGAATAAGTATTTTAAAATGCAATATTTAATGTGTCAGACACAAAATACAAGTTTTTAAATTAAATAATAATTGAATATTAATATGACCAGTTAATGGTTAATATTCTGTTAACAAGTGGCAGTTGTCAGTTGGCAAAATTAACTGAAATGAGCATCCCTAATTTCAATGTATTATGGCTAAACTTTGCAGATCTCATCTTCTGAGCGGTGGTGTTGGATTTAGTATAATCCCATCTCAACATTGCAGATCCAGGGATGTGACAATTTCACATGCAGACATTGAATGCTGAAATTGTGCAGCTCTAAATTAAAAAGTGTTCTGTTGTAAAAAAAAAAAAAACTAAAAGATTGACATTGGGATTTAAGAATAAATATTCATGCATTCACATTAAGGCATTCTAAAGTTCCAATTGTGCTGTGGTTAAAGCAACGCTGTAATCTTTTGAAACGTAAGCATGCTAAACAAATTTACAGTATATACAGTTGAAGTCTAAACTATTAGCTCTTCTGTGAAGTTTTTTTTTTCTTTTTCAAATATTTCTTAAAAGAGGTTTAACAGCAAGGAGTTTTTCACAGTATTTCCTATAATGTTTTTTCTTCTGTAGAAAGTCTTATTTGTTTTATTTTGGCTTGAATAAAAGCAGTTTTTAATTTTTGTTTTTAAAGTCATTTTAAGGTCAGTGTTATTGGCCCCTTAATCATTATTTTTTTCTCGATTGTCTACAGAACAAACCACTGTTATACAACGACTTGCCTAATTTAACTTGTCTAATTAACCTACTGCCTTTAAATGTCACTTTAAGCTGAATACTCTGGAAAAATATCTAGTAAAATATTATGTACTGTCATCATAGCAAAGATAAAATAAATCAGTTATTAGAGATGAGTTATTAAAACTAATGTGTTTAGAAATGTGCTGGAAAATATTCTCTCTGTTGCACAGAAATTGGGGGGGGGGGTATACAGGGGATAATAATTCTGACTTCATACGTGTACTTGCATGTTAAACCCCTTTAATTAAATTTCTTTTTTAAGATAGTAGTATTGTGAATAGCTTTAATATCTGACTCGTTTTCTCCTTAAGGACTCAGACTTTGACTCGACTGGAGGTCTGCTGGGAGCCACCATGGGCCGATTGAAGCTCCTCTCCAGGGGAAGCCAGACCAAGGTGTACTGCTACATGCTGCTGTTTGCTCTGTTTGTGTTCCTCGTCCTGTATTGGGTCATCAAACTCAGGTGACCACACAACTCCTGAGATCCAGGACTTTATTACATGCCATGCTCATTTGGGGTAGAAGAGCAAAATCCTCACACTTATGATGATGGTAATGATGATAATGAGGAGGAATTAAGGGGAGCAAATGTGCTTTTCTGGCCAGTGAATTAGAAATTGAACCATTGAGTTACAATGTGCAATATGAGAGAAAAAAAAAAAACATCTGTCCCCAAAATTACAGTCTCTTCAATGGAGAAATGCTACTTATACTGGAAAAACATGCATATTTAATTCAGTAATAATTAAACATTTGTTTGTGTTATTCTTTTAAGAGAACTTCATTGCTATGAATGGGTGATGATTTATAAATTCTAATGGATTTATATATATATATATATATATATATATATATATATATATATATATATATATATATATATATATATATATATATACTATTGAAGTCAATGGTTACAGGTTTCCAGTTCAAGGCAGTTTCCAGAAGAAAATCAATCATGTGTGTTTGAATAAAATGTCATTTGTCTTCTATTCTGTAATCTATTAAAGGTCCCACAGAATCAAAACAGTGACAGAATTCAAGTTTAGAAGATATAAAACTGATATGAACATGTCAAGCTTATAGATTGTCACTTCACCCAAACGAATCAACTGTTTTATTCACATGAACCTCATACTGCAGTTTCTCATCAAATCATAACCAATTTACTGCTCTCTAGTATCTGACATGCCCCGGCCCGCCCCTATTTTGTGCTTGAGCTGACAGAGCGGTGATTAAACAAAACGCTATTGGCTGTTTTTAGGGGAGGAGTTACCCTGCCCCACCCTCTATTGGTGTTTCGGTTTAAATTTACGTCAAACATCAGATAAAACATCCACATTATAAAGCACTTCATGGGACCTTTAATGTCATCACTTCTGAATCTGCAAATAAATTAGAGCAATGCAAATTATTCATTAAAGCATCAATGTTTCAGTTTCAGCAGAGTTAACAAAGCAATATTTAGTGGAATAAATAAATTGGGCAAAAATACATATATAAAAATACATATATAATAAAATACATGTATAAAATAAAACAAATATTAAAGTTTTACTCAAATGCATACTTGGTGAATCCAGTTCCTCCAGAGAAACTGAGAATTTTCAAGCGGTTCATGATTCAGGTTATGATAAATGCCCAGAACTGAAACCTTATTCATTTTTATTTTTCCTCTTTACAACATTGTTTGCAAGAGTTGCCACCAAACCTTTTTTATTTATTTATTTTTTTCCTGTGGGGCAACTAGTGTCCGGTAGTGTTATACAGTACAGTACAGTATATTATAGTCTTTAAAGGGCTGATCCTGAAACTGTGAAATAATAATGAGATATGTGAGATCATGTGCAATTCACTTCTGTATATTAACCAACTAAGGATTAATCCCAGAACTCTAAATATTTCTTGCTTATTTCTCCTCCGCTCTGTGGTTAACGTCATGCATGGTTTAATTCAGTTTTTAAGAAAGTGTTTTGTAAATAAATATCATTTTGAGAATTATTACATAAACATTTCCTCTATGTTGTCAAAAGTTTGAGAGTCTTAATTCTTTGTTCTCAAAAAATTCCAACAGTTTTCAAGAATTAGGAAATCTTTATTTTTTTATGCATGTTAGACACTGTGTACAACTATAATCAGAATTTACATATGTTACATGTACCTTAGAAGGTTTTCATCATCCCAGTCTTTATTAAGGCACCAATTTGTTTACTGCAATTCATCTATCTTCATTTTTTTTCAGCTGATATATCTAATTCATACAGTACAGCTAGATATCATTACAATTGGTGTTGGATTCTTCTTTTAAGTGCACTTTGTTTCAGTTGAACTGAATTTATTTCATTGACATCACTTCCTGGGTAGAGTGTCCATGTACTTGCATATGATTGACAGCATCACTTCATCAGCTCCTGCACCAATGGACATTAATCTGGAGTCCCTGTTTAAACAGAAAGAGCAGATGTACTTGTGCCTTGACTATTGAGGATTTGGTTTACCATTCATTTGCTCTTTTAAAGAGGTTGTATGATGCCCAATTAAAAGGTCATTTGATATACTGGAAATATTAAAATAGAAGTTTTCATGTTTAGAAAATGCACCATTTGCACATAATCCACGTTGCTCAGGGTTCCCTCACTTCTTGAAAGTACTTTAATTACAGACACAAGGATTCAATGCCTGGAAAGTACTTAAAAACAAACTTTGGTCCTTAAAGGTGCTTGAATTAAATGAGAAATTAAATTGGTTTATGGCGTTATTTCAACAATTGTGCTGTGCTGCAAAATAAAACAAAATCTAAAACTAATGCAAATGAATGTATTCATTTGATCAATATTTCAGAAACCACATTTGACTATTGCCAGTTTTGAATTCAACATTTTTTTCTGAAAAGAAAATGACTGTTTAAAACGGTCAAAATATGTGAAAATTACTCTGACATTTTTTCATGTAAATATTAAGTGTGAGTGAAATGTTAAGTACAGTAAGGACTTTAATGGTGCTGCGTTAGGAATAACAAAAATGTGCTTGATATAAAAATAAATGGCGCTTTAATTTTGGTGTCCATAAAAGAGTGGAAAGCCTGATTACTGCAGCACCTCCATTTCAGGTTAGTATAACTGAGTTTTGGTTTCCATAAATCTCCTGAAAAGCCCAGAATGCTCTGGTTGACCAGTGAAACCTGTTCATTTTGATTGGCCAACCGCTTCGAGCATGTTTAAATGGAATTCCTATAATAATAGTTGGTTTTAGCTTTCAAGGCAGCTAAAGCAGTTGTAAACACAAATAGCAGATAATGGCATCAGTTTTAGCCAAGTTCTCTATTAGATATAACTTGTGTACTTGCAGAGACTGATTAATTACACACTGAAAGAAATGGGAAACATTACAGAGTTCCCACTCTGTCATAATCAGCAAATTCAAGGAGTTTGAATGATTTTCAATTTTTAATCAGGTACTGTAGTCATTTACACCCCCAGTATGTGTAACACCATGAAAGTCCTTACTGTACTTAACATTTCACTCACACAATTTGCTCACTTTCACACAATATTTACATGTAAATTGTGCGAGTTATGACGATGTTTTGAACGTGTCATCTAAAACAAAAAATTGAAATCGAACTCATTTTTGCTTTTTGAACAGTCATGTTTAAAGAACTAATAACATTTGTTAAATTTAATACTAGTAATAATTTAAATGCACTTTCTGAAATTTTGATCATGTGCATTATTTGTCCATGTTCTTGCAAAGAATTTAAATGAACGAGTTGTAAATGAAGAAATAAACTTTTTTTATTCTGTTTTTGACAGCAGCACAGTACAATTGTTAAAATAACAACAAACTAATTTTATTTCAAATTTAATATGAGCACTTTCAAGGACTTATGTTTGTTTTTTAGTACATTCCAGGCCTTAAATCCAAAAATATGAAATTCAAGTACTTTCAAAAAGTGTTGGAACCCTGTACAAAATATTTTCTTGGACATAACCACATTCATGTTGATCCTGGAACATCAATCCTGTTCAGTATATAATCCAAACCCTAAACCTAATCCTAAATAATTCCCAAAATCAAAGAGCTCTAATAACTGGATACAAAGTTTAATCATATATATTTTTAGTCAGTTTGATTGATGTTCATTGAGATGACTAGAAAAGTTCATTTCATTCAACTAAAAACATATTATTTTTTCCATTGTGATGTAGAAGCACATAACCCTAACCATTAGTGATGCCACGGTTCACAATATAATATTGAACCGTTCTGTACGACCTCCACAGTTCAAACGTATGTTTATTTTCAAAGTGTGGGATTTTATGTGTTCGCCAGTTTGTGCATGGGCTACCAGCAGCTGTGAGATTTCAGTGTTATTTTTTATACAATTCACTAGGAACTAATGTACTTTTCTTGGCTTTTTAGTAAAACAAAATGAGTATTGCAATAAGTCGATTTAATTTTCTCCTTAACCTCTTATTGTTCCTATTGCCTATAGAATAAATAAACACATGTGAGAGCCGAACCGAACCGAAAACCTTGTTAAAAAACTGAGGTATATTTTAAACCTTGAGCTAACTGTATTGTTGCATCCCTACTAACCATAAGCCTAAACTTAACATAAACTGTAACGTCATTCCTTACATTTGATTGGCTGATTGGAATGTTGTTCCAGGATCAACATGGATGTTTATACAGGAACATGTCCAACTTGGTGAATTCCTGCTTTCCACCATATAGTCAAGAGTGAAAACATGCAATCCAAACCTGTTGCTGTGAAATGTCACTAGATGTCAGCGCAGCTCAGTTGAGCTCAGAAACTGACCTGTAGAACCTGCTGACAAGGACGTCACTGGTGTATCCCATGCCACCCCAGTACTGCAGGCAGCTGTCAGCCAGCTCACGTGCCAGTCGCCCTGCCTTCAGCTTGGCCATCGATGCCAACTTCGTCACATCATTTCCCTTAATGTACAGAGCTGGTCAAAGTGCAGAACACACAGCGTTAGTGTTCAGCATCAGGGCTAGCCCAATGTCCTGTGGCTATTATGTTTTCAGTTGGAAAACCAAAAATTAATCCACCTTAATCCACTATTACTTAATCCACTCTTAACAGGAGAAAAAATAGAACCGATTTGAATTGTTTTTGCATTCTCTCACAGGCCAGGTAATTATGTTGTATGCCATTTTCATGGGGAAAGACTATCGATGTGTGTTTTTTGTCTAGCAATGCATGTATTGCTTTTCATTTAGTAAGTGATGTATTTTCTATTCGGGTTGCTTGAATTTATTTCAGTCATCTGATTGGTCAAATTTAGATGACCAATGTGGAATTGAGAGCTCAGAGCGGGTTGGGTGCAGAAGGATTGGTGGGTTACATGTGGGGGCTCGTCTGGGATGGGAGTGAAGATTAGGGGGTTGAGTGTAACGGAGGCCAGCTAGCCAAGTGCTGTGCAGGTAAATTTCACTCCTCTGACCTCTAAAGTTGCTCTAGCGACAGACTCAAGACGCCATGTGCTTTAACCTCCTTGTTAGAGCAACTAACTCCAATGGAAAGAATCGGCGGTTTGATCCCAGCTCAGAGCGGGTTGGGTGCAGTAGGACTGGTGGGTTACAAATGCATGAAATAAATGATTATTATTATTAATAATTTTGTGATGTATATTGTGCAGCCCTAGACGGTACCATTCGAATCTCACAGCAGAAATTGAGACTCATCAGAACAGCTATTTTTAAATCTTAGACCAGTAGTGCTTAAACACGGTCCTGCAGGGCCGGTGTCCTGCATATTTTAGTTCCAACCCCAATTAAACACAATTGAACCAGCTAATCAACCTCTTTCTAGGCTTTTTAGGTGTGTTGAAGAAAGTTGGAGCTAAACTAAGCAGGGCACTGGCCCTCCAGGACTGAGTTTGGACACCCCTGTCTTGTACTGTTCTAAGTCTCTGTTTTGTTGTGCTCTTCTGTTGTACTACGCTTTAAGGTTTGATTTGTGGTGTGTTCAGAGATGCTCTTATGCAGACCTTGGTAGTTACTGGCCTTGAGTTACTACTACCTTACATGAGCTGAATGTGATGTAATGTGTATTTATATAGCACATTTATTGTGTATGGCCATACACCCAAAGCGCTTTACAATCATGAGGGGGGTCTCTCCACCAGTGTGCAGCATCCACTTGGATGATGCGACGGCAGCCATAGGACAACGGCGCCAGTGCGCTCACCACACACCAGCTACTGGTGGAGTAAAGAGACAGTGATAGAGCCAATTCAGTTGGTGGGGATGATTAAAAGGCCATGATCTTAAGGGCCAATTGAGGGACTTTGGCCAGGACACCGGGGTTACACCCCTACTTGTTACGAGATGTGTCATGGGATTCTTAATGGAAACAGAGAGTCAGGACCTCGGTTAACGTCTCATCCGAATAACGGGTGAAGCACTCTATCTAAGGGTGTCACGATCCTCCAAATCCTTGATTCGATTACATTTTCGATTCTAAAGTCACGATTCAATTCGATTTTCGATTATGAATAATTAATTAATAACGAATTAATTATTTGTAGCCTACCGTTTAAACTACCTGACTTGCATGGTCTTTGTTTTACCCATAAACAAATCATACAGTAAATGAATAAAGGTAAGTTACACACATACCACCTGTCAATCACTTTTTCTGTGGGACTGGGGGATAGGCAGTGATCTGTGTCGTTATAATGGCGTCGGTAAAAAAGGTGCACAACCAACAGGAACCAGCCAACAGTACCTGAGGTGTTCGCTAAGTACTTGTGTGAAAGTAAAAGATGGAAGCAGTCTACTGACTCGCTAACTGCCTTGACCCGCTGTCTCAAACGCATGACAATTTGTGTGCGTCTGTATCCTTGTGTGAATGAGTGTGTGTGGTCACATGATGTGTGTTTTCAGCGGTAGTGAGGATGGAGGGCTGCTCAGAAATACTACACACCAGTGTGGATGTGGATCGTTGTCGTTCTAAAATGCCATTTAAAAACAAAGACATATTAGTGTAAACAGGGCCTGAGTGTGTATTTTTCGCGAGCGGATTTGCAACGGGTGCGGGGCGGAGGATCGCGATGCGCCTATCGTCTATCATCCCAACCGTAATACGTACATAGCAGAGCTTGCAAACTGTGTTTGTTTTTTTTTGTCGACAACACGAACGTTGTCAACATAACTTACTGGAAATCCAAATTGCTTCCACACCGGCGACTTCATTGAAAGAGGAGAGGGTTTAAGTTCTGTCGACGGGTCTCCTGCGTCTGCAGTTTAACAAGCACTTCAACAAGCCTGTTTTTTCCTGCTTGGCAAGCCAAGCTAAAGTGACAAGGGGGCGTGACAGCATCGACGATTCTATTTTTTGATTCGATAATCGAAGCTGAGCATAAATTTCGATCGATTTCGACTAAAAATCGAAATCGTGACACCCCTAACTCTATCCATAGCTGAATCAGTCTATCTATTCTCCTTTGATGCCGGACATCAACAAGGCATTTTTGACTGTATATTTTGTCTCTATCAGACTATTTTCTGTAAACATTAAAACTGTTTGTAAAAATTCCTATAAATTAGTAATTTCTGAAATACCTAGATCAGCCCTTCTTGCAAAAACAAACACACCACGTGTAAAGTCACTTAAAGGGATAGTTCAGCCAAAAATGAAAAATCTGTCATCATTTAATCTGTCCAAAACATTTGAAGTTTTATTGTTCTGTTAAACACAAAATAAGATATTTTAGAAACTTTGTACCACTGAATAACAAACTATTGAAGTCAGTCATTACAGGCTTTCAGTTTTCTTCAATATATCTTCTTTTCAGGACAAAAAAACTCAAATAGGTTTGGAACAAGGGAACTGATGGGTGTCCAAATAAATCACCACACTAACGTTCCATTTATTAAAACACAACATAAAGCCTGAGTAAATAATGCAAGAATTTAGGTTTTTGGGTGAACTATCCCTTTAAATCTCCTTTGCGATGCTCGGTTTGAAGTTTGGCAGATCGTCTTGACCACATCGACAAATTGAAATGCACTGAGTATCTGCCGTGTAATTGGCTGCTTGTTAACAAACAGTTGAAGCGGTGCACCTAATAAGGTGGTCAGTGAATGTATGGCTTTTAACTCCAGTTTTTAACATCACAACCTAAGGGATGAAAAAAGGAATTGCAACCCAGCGTTCACACTATTACTTTCCATTATTAATTTGGAAGTCATCTGCCCTGTAGACCCGCCGGACCCAAACCCATGAAATTGCATATTGAAACTCCCCTATGAATCCTTCTGAAATAATTTGGGAAAAGGTGTAAACTAACCCGTGGCGCGATGTAGAAGAGAGCGCAGGAGCTCAATCTCCATCTGCAGCTCAGCCAGCCTAAAGTGAACCACCTGATTGTGTAAAATGGGCTGATTGAAGATCTTCCTCTGTCTGGTGTACTGAATAGTCTCCTGGACAACTTTCTCCATCACCGTCAAAACTTGAGGGAAAACACAAAACAAGAAGCATGACTGTATCAGGGAAAAATTTCGATTGATGTCAGCAAATAAGTTCCAATAACAAATGAAGTAGATGGAGGAGGACAACTGCTAGACGGAAAGTAGCCAGACATGTTTGCTGATGATCTTAAATGTCAGTTCTTTTACTTCCTTGTTGTTTAAAACTAAATAAAACAAGTTCTCCTGTGCACTGACTCATCGGTAAACACTCGTCAGTCTTAAGCGAGAGTGATCTGGATTCATTACACACACACGCAGGCACTACTGACATCATGTTTGTGCCAATCCCAAACGTCATCGGAATGTTTGACGTCATGTTTGATTTGTGGGTAGTTGACAAATAGTGTGAGAAACCATTTTTGTAGAAAGAATTATTTTATTTCTGTAGTTTATAAGGGGTCACTAACTTATTTTTAAGGCTTGGTTGTGTTTATAAGATGCAAAGCAATGTGTGCTCATGTTTCACTTGTAGAAAGTCAGGTTATTTTTTTCATCTATCTCACTTTGATTATATACTGCTAACATAATGAATCATGAATCAGACAAAAAAGCACACTTTCAGTTAATTGACTTAATTTTAAAATAGAAATAGAATTATGTAAAAGTATTGTAACGAGATATGCACAATGTTTGATTAGTTTGACAATACTAAAATGTCTGCGTGGACACTGCATATTTAGGAGCAGCTCACATGTGTAGTGGAAAGCAAACGGCAAAAGATGCGGACATCAATCAAGAAACTGTAATTATCTAAAAATGCTTACCAAATGTTTATTAAAAATGCATTAAATGTTTAGTTTACAAAAGCTATAGTTTTGTTTTACCAGTTGTTTTGTATTATAGAACTTAATAATGAATGTTTATGAGTTTCTTTAAAATTTTTTTAAATAATTGATACATGTTTTAACACTTTGAAATAATGATTCATGTTTGAATATGAAAATCACTTCCAGTCACCTTTCCAGTCATATTTATTTTCAAAGATATTGTAATAAAGAAGGAGCTGTCCAACACTTCTGTACCTATTGTATGAGAACAATTGGTTACCTCCATTTCAATTGCACCATAAAAGGTACAGAACAGTATCATAAGAGGTGTTTTCTGTACCATATAAGGTACAACTTTTACAAAGGTACAAAACTGTTCCTTAAGGAGCATTATTTGTACCACCGTGTACCTTTTTTCTGAGAATGTACTGTGTTTTTAGAAATATATGGATGATTGCCATTTGTAAGATGAGGTATTTATTAATGATAAAAAAAAAATCTTAATAGTTTATAACGGATATAATTTATTGAACTATGCTTGAGACGGTCACACTATAAGACAGCAGATTGAGATTTGCCTAAAAAAATATAATAACAGTCGTTTTATAACAATAGGTCCACGGAAGACAAAGATATGTTTAAAGCTCCCGTGAAGTGCTTTAAAATGTGCAATTTTTTTTAATTTGATGATTGATGTAATCACAACTGAAACATGAAGAGTGGGCAGGACATAATGTAGCCCCTCCCCTTTTTAAATAAACCGTTAATATGTTTGTTTTCTTACAGCTCTGCCACTGACTGTGGTTAAGCTCAAGTGCAAAAAAATGAAAAGCTAACAAGAAGGGGGCGGGGCATGTCAGATACTAGAGAGCATTTGTTTAGTCAGGAAAATTGATGTAAAACTGAAGTATGAGATGATGTGAGAAAAAAAAAACGTTGTCCCATTTAGGAAGCTTTGGAAGTTTATGTCAGCTTTATATCTTCTAAACGCAAAGTTTATACACACTAGCTTATGGATATCCTTAAAACCAACATAGTAATTCTAACATCTAAAAAAATTATTTTAATTTCACAGGACCTTTCACCATTTACTGCAGGGGTGTCCAAACTCGGTCCTGGAGGGCCGGCGTCCTGCAAAGTTTAGTTACAACCCCAGTCAGACACACCTGGGCTTGCTAATCAAGCTCTTACTAGGCTTTCTAGAAACATTCTTGCAGGTGTGTTGATGCAAGTTGGATCAAAAATCTGCAGGACACTGGCCCTCCAGGACCGAGTATGGACACCCCTGATTTACTGCATTTCAAATGGCGACAATATGAATTCTACAAATTTTGTCATGTGTGACAGTGGAAATGCAATGTCACGTCAACAACACATGTAGTAATGGTAATGTTTACTTACTGTTTGCGACCCCCCAGAGTCGCTCTTCCTGAAACTGCAGCATCTGATAGGTGAAGCCCATTCCCTCCTGACCAATCACGTTTGAGCAGGGCACACGAACATCATCGAAAAACACCTCTGCTGTGTCCGATGAGTGCATGCCGATTTTATTGATCTTGCGAGCAATGTGAACACCTGCGGATGTGTTTAGCATTAGCACGTTGTTATTTTTTTTAATAGTTTTTTTTGTAATATTTGTGTGTGTTTTACCGGGCAGTTTCATGGGCAGGCAGATCAGGGATTTGTTCTTGTGTGGAGGGCCGTCGCTGGTGTTGGCCAGCAGGCACATCCAGTCTGCTTGAGTGCCGTTCGTGGTCCACATCTTCCCTCCGTTAATCACATATTCATCTCCTTTGCGGACAGCTTTAGTCTTGATGCCTGGGAGAGATGGAGATTTATTCATAAACTAGTGGTTCTCGGTCTGGGGTGCAGGGCCCAGCAAGAAAAGCACATTTTGAGGAGCAGCACAATATCACTTAAAATTTATTCGTTTGATAATAGAAGCTGTTTTTGCTAAGCGTGACTGCACACACAAGGAATCTGTCTTAGAGAAAGGAGCTTCCAGTGCCTAAATAATAGAGACATAAGAACATAAATAAATAGTGCGTATGTAGTAAATAAATGTGGTTCAGGTGGGAAATACTACTACCAATAATAAAATATGAATTTAAATCAAGTTAATAAATTATCATTAAGATCCACCCTGCCGCTGCTCCACCAAAAAGTTCTGCTTTTATTGAATAGAGTACTGTTTTTATGTTGTGAATGTTGCTTTATTGTTGTTTATACAATAGTTCTGTCTGATCCTACAATCTAATTGGCTGAGATAGTGAGATCTTAAAGTAATATCAGCACTTGTAGAGCCTCTTCACCCTTGTGTATTACTCCGCCCACACAAGTGGGAAGCAGAGGACTACAGTTTGACAGATATTGCAGCTGTTGGACAACATAATTTACTTTTGGGGCTTTTAGGTGAGAATGTAGATGTTTAGATTGCAACTATGCAGTTTATTTAGAAGGACAGTGCTTACTAATTATATTAATAATTTCTGAGATTCAGAATGTTGGCGGTCATCAGCCTGTCATACTCAGCAGAGCAAAAGATGGTTGATGCTGCGCCATAAAATAGCGACAGAGACCGCACAATAAGTCCACTGGGGAGGAAAAAACTGCATTTTTTCAGTGTAGATTTCAAACTACAGCTGATCAAATCATTATAAAACAGGTAAGTGATACTCTAAGTCGATCTCTCTCTTTTGTATGTTATAGTGCTGTATTTATACCATAATAATCTACTAGTGTTTGCATTGTTCTGTCATTTATAGCGTTAATTATTGTGAAATCCTGATTGCAACAGAGAAATACAGGGAAATGTATGTAGACTGAATCTTAAAATGTGAGCAAAATCAGCTGTTTTGTCAACACTAGACATTACGCTTGAGAATTATTCAAACACTAGCTCTAAAGTGATGCTTGTGAAGTAACAACTTACTGTTCCTCTCAGAAAAGGGTTTTTTAAACTTTGTGTTTGATTTTCTTTTTATATACACGACAATGCTGTCGAACTGTTGTATAAATGCAATATCACACTTGTAGTAGTGTGATATGACTGTATATCGTCATGGGTGGGACACGAAGACATCATTGCTACTCATGTGATATTGCTCATTTATATAATAATGGTATTTATAAATATTTTAAATTAATATTTATTTTAATGTTTTCAGGATTTATTCTTGTATTAGTTATGTGTTTGTTACCTAACTTATTTCTATATGATGCTGATTTGTTTTTATTTCACTTCTAGTTCGTAATTTGTAATACTTAAAGAAAAATATTTATTATTATAATTTATTATATATTATGTTTTTTTATTACATTTAATTTAGGTTTTTATTAAAAAAAATTTATTTGCATCATATTTATATATGACTTTACTTCCTTATTGTTTATTTCTACATGATTTGTTTATTTTGTTTCAGTTTTAATACTTAAATCTTAAATATTTATGTTTTAGTTTTAGATTTGTTTTAACAGTTTTTAATTCTATGTAGCTATTCTATATGGTTTAATGTTTTAATTTCAGTTTTAGTACATAAATATAATTTTTTTACTAAAATATATTAGTGTGTATTTATGACTCATTTTAAACCTAAAGTCATTATTTTTACTTTTTTTTTTTCATTGGTTTTAATTTTTTATTGCTTGGTTAATAATTTAGTTCTAGTACATCAACTAAGTTTTATTTCGACCTTATAACAACTTCAGTTTTCTTTAATAACCTCATTAATATTTTCCACCAGCCCCGGTTTTTACTTCACAAACAAAATTGAGATCATGGAAAACAGATCTGCACATAGACCCATCTGGTTTTTCACAGACACATCTTTTAATCCCCCCCCTACCTTTATTTTAAAAGGTCATTTTAGATTTGCGTGTAGTGTTATGTTTAAAATAACCAAACAAGCATGTTATACAAGACCTTCAGTGAAACACTTACTGGCTACATCAGATCCGGCGCCGGTTTCGCTCACCCCGAGGCAGACCACCACGTCTCCCATTATGGTGGGCTGCAGAAACTCTTTCTTGAGCTCTGCAGATCCAAACCTACAACATCACACAAATCACATCCTCAGTCACTGAAAGCTTGTAAGACAGCATGCATTACGGAGATTTACATTTCCTAGCAGCAAATGCAATTTCAGAAAAGCTTCCATAGGGCAGAAACACAAAGCACAGTAATCAAAATCCAAACAGCCCAAAATGAAAATGCGGCGGAGAATGGCTGTATCCAGAGAGTAAGCACAGTAATATATCTGCTGTATTATAATACCTGCTGCTGTCAGATACTAAAAAAGAAAAGGAGTCGTCCTCATAATTACTGTTTTTAGTTGACATGACACATGATTTACATTGTTATGAGTCTATCAGCATATGGTGAGGATAAACGGCTTCAGATGTTATTATGCTTTCTATTAAAGGGGATCTATTATGCAAAAATCACTTTTATAAGGTGTTTAAACAGTTTTGTAGCAAAAGTGTGTGAATATAGCCAGCCTCTAATGGTGAAAATGTATTAATTCTATGTTTTATAATCGCACTTGATTAAAAACAGTCTGCAGAAACACTTTACTTGACATTCTCCCTTTGTACGTGTCATCAGAGGGAGAAAGCCCCGCCCATTAGTGACAATCTCTCCCTCATTAGCATAGAATGTTAGTCTTGTTTTAGAAGCTGCCAGTTTGCGGACACAGGCATTTGTAGCTCCGCCCTCTTTTGAAAAGAGAATCACATCTCATTTGAGTTTAAAGCAACAGTCACCAAAACGGTCAAAAGCCTCAAGTGATCAAAGCCTAAAGTGGGCAGTTTCAAAGAGTTATAAAACATTATTTTTGGGGTATTTTGAGCTGAAAGTTCACATGCACACTCTAGGGACATTAGAGACTTATTTTACATCTTGTATATAGGTCACCTTTAAAACTAGATTTGATCAGTCTGTGATGTGGAGAGCTGCTCTGAGAGTTACTATAGATTTTACTGCATTATTTGATAAAATCTTTACATTTTATTAATTAAAATAAAAACTATTTAAAATAATTTAATTTCATTATTTAATAAAATGGAATTTGAGTGGAAAATGTATTTAAAATAATAGTTTTTGTGAAAAAAAAAGTATTTTAAAATGTTAAATTATATTTACATTATTTTAGTCAAACTAATACAATTATAAAGGAACAAAACTGAACTAAAGTGATTGTTCAGTCCAAAATAAAAAAAAATTCTCATAATTTACTCACACTTAATTGGTTCTGATCTTTTATGAATTTATTTCTTCTGTCGAACACAAAACAATATATTCTGAAAAATGTCGGAAAAAACAAGGTTTCTGCAGGTCTTATGGGGTAAATTTAAGACTTTATAAAGGCTTTTTTTAGGATCAGCTAAAGAAATTCTATGGGTAAATAATACAAAATAATAATAATACAGCCGTATATTTATAACAAAGTCAAAGTAAAAATACAATCAAACTAATCTAAATCACCTTACGTAATGTTAAAGCTAGAGTAGCTCTAATTCAATAGATTTTTACGCACTAAAAAAATACAAACTTTTTTTTTAACTATGTAAAAACTATGGACTTGATATAAACATTTTATACTTAGCCACACAATTAAAATGATTTTGTTTTATCAATTCAAATGTTAAGTAGTTTACTAGTTACCTGAAGAATTTTAAATCAAACAGGTTTATACTTGCTAAACTGCCTCATAGTGATGTTAAATAACTACAATAAAAACCAATTTTATCTGGCTCTGGACCGTTTCAAACAACGCCGCTCAATGATAATGCCATAGCTTGTGCAGTGTGCAGAATTCATTATTAGTATTATTAGCATTATCAGTATATTAGTATTGGTAGTTGCTGCTCCCTGACAAACACATATTATATGACTACACACAATCATTGTTTTTATACACAGTGTATTTTACATACATAAGAGAACAGGGAAATCTGGAATTTACAATCACGTCCCTAAATGACGTCCATTGGAACAAAAAATACTATGGAAGTCAGTGGCTGTTCTTCCCCCCAATATTTGGTATATCTTCCCTTGTGTTCAACAGAAGAAAAAACAAACTCAAATAAGTTTTGAACAAGTGAAGCAAATTTTTGGGTGAAGTGTACATTTAAAGATACAAACAAATAAATTCCTCTAGAAAGTGACATTACCTGGCCAGTGCAGGTGTAGCCATGTCGCTCTGGACGCCGATGGCCATGGGAATCCCTCCACAGTTGATGTTCCCCAGTTCTTCAGCAACAGCCAAACTATAGCTGAAGTCCAGCCCCAGACCTCCATACTCTACAGCCAATCAAAACAATCAAAGCACAATCTCAGACCCAACTTGTCATTTGAATGTTTATATAAGATCTGCTTGTACCCTAGTGAATGTTGGGTCCACTTTACTTTAAGGTACAATTCTCGCTGTTAACAAACCATTAACTATGACGAGGGCCCGACAAAATCCAGATTTGTTTTTCCAGATTTGCCTTTTCTGCACAAAATTATGTTTAAAGAAAAGTACATTTTGTGAGTATAGTAACTAAAACATGAAACAATAACTTGTCAACTTTTATTCTAGGTTTACAATGCAAATCCAATTAGATCCCCTCATTTTTGCTAAACAAAGTCTCTCAAACAATATACCAACTAAAAACTACAAACTTTATTGTAAATAAATCATATAAACATTTGCATATTAGTTAATATTACTGAAATAAATATTAAAATTGAATGAAAAAAATATATATATACATTACACACTTTTACTTAAGTTAAAAAAAAGATTTGATGATATATTTTTTGTGTTATTGTAGTTTCATTTTGTTTAAGGGGGAAGGGTTGAAAATAATAATTTGTTTCTTTTTTTCTGTAAAGCTCTGTTCTGTAAAAGTTTAACAAACAAATAAAAAAAAGATGATTTGCTAAAAAATCTGTGGATTTTTGCATGTGCAGATTCCATGTGAGTCTTACTATGACTTTTATCTCAATGAAATACTAATTAGCTGCTATATATTAATAGTTAAGGCTGATTTATACTTCTGCAACACACGTACAGCCTTTGCGCGGTCGCATAACCCACGCTGTGGCTGACGCAGACCCGGATGCGCACTTCTCAAAAAATGTAACTACATGTCGCAACAACACATATGATAGGTCGGCTAGGTAGTGCTGACAAGCGTCGGCGGTGCTGAGAGCCACGAGCCCGATGGTAAGATAGTTTACAAGTGTCGAGTCCCATAAAGGAGCTCCAGATGGAGACTTTTCTTGTGTTTACCTTATGATTAAAGTTGTTGCACGTCCGCCGGTTCCCGCCTCTGAATGAGTGAGACTGCGTCTAAAACCCCCTACTACTCAATAGGTACTGCATTTGAATTTAAACGTACCACTCGGATGTTAAATAAAGTAGGTTCTATAGAGTATGAATGTGAAAAGTATGAATGGTATTCAGATGTACTACATCCACCATTTTGTCATGGTCACGTGACCTACCTGTGTCAGTTGCGTCGCTTCTCTCCCATTCATGAATTCTCTTGCGAGGCGGCATGGGTTAGCGCAGCGTGCATGGGATGCACACTTCAGAATCTCGCCGGAAGTAGTAAGTCATCTGGGTACTTCTCGCATACTTGTTTTCGAATTAGGACATACCACTCAGCTCACATACTGATTTTAGCGTACTATATAGTATGGAAGTATGCAGTTTCCGATGCAGCCTGAGTTTTAGCTACTTAAAGCATTCAGAAAAAACAAAATACCCATGAAGAAACTCGACACAGAGGAACATAAACACCTACTGCCAGTTAGTGTATCGAAAGTGCAGAGCAACACAAACAGCACACAGAAGAATAAATGCACAACTACGCGCAAGGCAGGTGCCGTGGGTCACGCCAATCACTTAACGCAGAAGTATAAATCAGCCTTTAGTGAGGTAGTAGTTGGGTTTAGATATTGTGTAGGATTAAGGATGTAGAATATGATCATATTTTGACTACTAATAAACAGCCAATATCTTATTAATAGGCAGGTAGTAAGCTAGTAGTAATAGCAGGAATTGGTACTTAAACTAAAACTTTACCAAAAAAAAACGGTTTTCCTTTTGTCTTTGACATGAGCCACCTTAGAAAAAAGGTTGTCAGCCAAACATACAAATTTACATACATAATAAGCCACTGATGCAAAATGCAAAATAGCTGCACTTTTAAGGTCAGATCACCTGATGTTTTGGTCTTACGCCAAAAGTCTTTTGCATGTAAGATGTAAGAACATGTAAGCATGTAAGAACTCGAGTGCTTCAAATAAATTCAGAAGTAATTTCTATCAGCTCTCCTTGTTCTTGGACGACACTAAGCTGAACTTCCTTGCATAACAAGATTTGCCAACATATTTTTGCCATGCAGCAATCTTAAAACTTGCCGTGCCCTTTTCACACCCCTGCGCTTCATTTAGTCATCATCATAGCGTACTACAACGGCTTGCGCAAAGCAAACGGCATATAAGATATTGCATGTGACGCAATGAAATCATAACAGTTTCCCCACGTTACTTTCCTTGTGCTGCATTTATTCATGTCATTTCATGTTCTGTTTCATTTAGCGTTTTCCTTCAGGAAACAAATATTACGACATTAAGGAAATTATTTTATCCTGTGCAAGCAATAAAGGCAACAATAATGTTGAAAAGCAGGTCCATTAATGGCTGTTGTGGGCTCATTTTCCACAGTACTGTACAGGCCGCTGTAGTCTGTCAATGCTTGTGCTCAATATTCGCTGTGGAAATAAAATAAGGGGAAAAGAGAGCCAGAGAGCAGAGGAAACAGATACAGCTGCACAGGAACAAGTGTAGTCCAACAATTCACTATCCAAACAGATGATTTGTTCGCTTTCATCGCATCAGAATGGATGCTTTGTTGATATACTTTGTTATACACAAGCAAGCTTAACGCAGGCTATTGACCTTATTCTTCACCTACGAGCCACTGGAATCTTTTTGGCTCAACTTCCGGTCTCTTTCACGTCTGACTTTAAGATGGTAAAAACAGGTTGTTATGCTGATTGACTGACATTTTCTTCTGAAGTTATTCTACTTTTTATGTATAGTCAGATGTTATTGAACGTATTTCTTTAACTGCTTTTCGATTGGTTAGAATTAACGTGTGGGAAAAGGCCAATGGAACTCTCGCAGGTAAACAAACACAAAATGTCGCCTTTTTACTTTGGAGGAACGACTGCGCTGGCTGATTGTATCCCTGGTTATAGTATACTAAATAGTTTGTGTACATCACTTTAGGCATATATACATTTCGAGAATAAAGCGTGGCTCCGGCTGGAATACAATGCTTTAATGCATTGCAAACAGTGAAGTCGCATTGCAAGTAACTTCAGGAGGAGGCGTGAATAATTTCTGCGACTTGGTCATCTTCCGGAAATATTACCAATGACCCATCAGGTCATGTTTTTCCCTCTCTCTATCTGTTTAAAATTGGTTGGTAAAGCGCTGTCAGTTATTTTTCCTCCACATCCCATAAGATGGGATAGCGCATCGGGCTACTACTTTTTGTGGTTGGGTCTGTTTTAGTTCAGATCATGTTCTCACCACAAACTAACCGCTCCATGGTTTATTTGAAAGCGTACTGAGACCAACTATTCAAGCAGGTCTTGGTCTGCTTTTTTGGTCCGCTTTTGGTGTGCACTCAAGTGCGATTGCTACTGTACTTTCACACTTGCCCAAATGAACCGCACCAAAAAGGAAAATGAACCGAACTAAATAAGACAGGTGTCAACAATCACAAAAAACAATCGCAGAATAAGGTCAATATGATATCAAACCAGTTTTAGCACAAACCATTTGACGTAGATTGTTATGGTAATGAATTAAGGACAATGGTGGTTGGGATGCGAGAATCAATCATTTACGCAATGACAATGCCACAGATCGCAGTTTAGGGTGTTTGTTTCATTTATTATTTTATGTCTGACCGACCATTAACAGTTAAGTAATATGATTAGAATGTAAAATTAATATCAAATGAATATCAGATCACAGAGCTATGTGAATGGAGGGAAAACTACTAGAAAAATATAGCGCTTTATTCGTTTACAATGGCACAGTGTTTTGTTTTTGGTAAAGTTGATTGTACACAAATAAATTAAAATGAATGAATGAATACACAAGCAAGACATCATTCATCATTTTCTTTCGGCTTAGTCCCTTATTTATAAGGGGTCGCCACAGCAGAATGAACCGCCAACAATTCTGGCATATATTTTATGCAGCAGATGACCTTTCAGCTGCAACCTAGTACTGGGAAACACCCATACTTTCTCATTCACACACACACACACACACACACACTTACATTAATCAATTTAGTTGACCCAATTCACCTATACAGAAGTCTGTGTGTGGGGGAAACTGGAGCACCCGAAGGAAACCAATGCCAACATGGGAAGAACATGCAAACCATGCACAGAAATGCCAACTAGCCAAGTCGGGACTCGAACCAGCGACTTTTATGCTGTGAAGCGACAGTGTATCATTTTAACCTATACATGTTGACTCTGCATTGTGATGATGTTTTACTAAAAAAACTATTGAAGTACAAAGCCACCTGTGTCCTACATATGAAATCATTTGTATGCGGAATATATATGTAGCTTACATTTCTGTAAAAAAAATGTATAATAGTTAAATAAAACAAGGTGTATCTGATGCTTTAGTCAATGTAACCTAGTTAATTTGCTTATTGTGCAGGATTTGAAGATCAGATTTATATCTGTTAAGCATATATGTGGACAAATATAATCCGCTTCTTAAGTGTGATGTCACGTGATAATAAACTGGTAATAACAAACGTTTACAAAGCACTGTAACACTTTTGTCACAGTGATCGCAATATATACAGCCATGCCTAATATTCGATGGCCAGAAAGTGATTGTTTTTTTTTTTTTTAGAAATTGTTCAAATATTGGTGTCTGAGATGCAGAGTCCAGAGAGTCATGTGTACATCATGATTTTGCATAGAATTTACTTTAATGTGAAATGACTATAAAGTGGTCCTAAAAGAATAATTTCTCAATTCAAACGTGTAGTGGCTTGGACCCGGGAACAGTATTTGATACGTCACCACATAACAAGCAGATAATAAAACGTTTACACCAAACAGATAGCTATGCATTAAGTGACCATTTGTGAACAGGCCCAATTAGATAGCTCCTTTAAATGTGGCCTTCATATGCATTTGTGGCTCCTCAGTGTTAAAATCATATTACTAGACATGCCCCTTAGTGTTGATTGGCTGTAA